TGCTGTCATATCAGACAAGAGAGATTAGTCTATGCTGCCCAGACGGGGAAGTGGTTAGTAACGCTGACTGCAGTACCGAAGGGCCCGGGTTCGACTTCCGGAGAAGGCATAGATGTTTGTAAACTTTGGTGGGCACTGAAAAGATGCGGCGAGCCGAAATTCCGCTTGAGAGGTTAGTAGTAGGGTAAAAGAGTGGAAGACCCTCAGACCTGTTCCCCGGTGAATTTCATAGCCTTGCTCTGATATCAGACAAACGTGATTAGTAACAACAACAAAAACAACAAGAAGCCATTAGAAACATTCATTCATTTCAGTCATTGTTTTCCGTTCAGGACTTGATACGTTTGGATTTCAAATTTATAATCAATTGTTTTGAATTGCGGTTATTTTAAATGTGCTTATTAACACTAACACTAAAGTATTTTTAAGCACTGAAAATTGCATAAGAATGAGTTTTGTTTTCATTGTATATAACAGAATTAAATATCGATCCTTGGCTTTCCTTAGGAATGTCAGGAGCTACATGGTATTAACCGAGAAATATTTTTAGTCTCATTATTAAGGGCAGAAAATAGGACATTCTGCGCGATTTTTTTCCAGATTTCACTTTAAATGTAATAAAGTAAACGCTAGATGATCTTGCACGACTAACGTCTTAACCTACCCTCTTAGAGCTTGAGGATTATTCAAGTAATTCATTAAATTGAATTACTAGTGCCTACGTTAATTGCTTTCGGGAAAGATAATGATCGTATTCCTAAGACAAAAATTGGAAAAGAAGACAGAATAAAAGCTTCAGGATTTTCTACTCCAAGCAAAAATTAAAAAAAAAAAAAAAAAAAAAGAACTGAAAGCTTTCAGTTTTACATTACGCCCAAAGGGACGTTTGACGTTTATTTAAGGTTATGTGTCTTACCTTGTGTTTTATTAAATATAATGTTCTTCGCACTTAAACCATAAAATTCACTTCAATATCACAAAATATTAAAAAGAGCATACCTTTAGAATTTCCGATACACAGTCTCGCGCGAGATAAAAATGTTTTTTTTTTTTTTTTTTTTAATATTTTCGTACAGTGTTGCCATCGCTCGCTTTGAAATCATTGAGTTTCTTAAGCAAAAATTCATAAATGCTTATATAAAATAGATAATAATTCCAAATTCCAAAATTTAGGCTTCCAGATGCCCATATTCAAGTGGAAGACGTACGTAATTCAAAATTTGATGGTTCTAGGTACTGTTGTTTTTACCACAGCGCGCGACGCATACATACATTTATGCAGATTCTTCATTATTTAATTTCTTTAAATATAACACGGGGCTGTAATAGTTGGTGGCAACAATTTAAAAAGTGATTCGCCGTTTATAGTGAATCAGCGCAAAATGCCAAAACGAAATTAATAGCCCTTCTGGTCAAATTGCCCCTTTGGGTTAAAAAAGAAAACTGTCCTAATAATTTGATGTCCGATGTCCAAATCTGGATTTTCTTGAATGTTTCTTTTCACCTGCTAATTTTATGTTGAAATATTTTTATAAAAATAATTTTATAACTCAAATTTAATAAAAGCCTAATTGAAAAAAGGCTTTTGAGATCTATCTCTTTTCTTCATACTTTTGTTTAGCACTGGGAATTTTATATAAAATTTAGCTTGCAAAAATTGTTGTTTTCCTTAATTTTTATATTCAGCAGTGCTTATCTTGCACAAATATTTGTCTTTAACGAACTGAGGACAAGTGATAAAGGTAAGAACTACACAATCCTCAATCCGATACCATCAGGATCCCGAGTAACGTGGTCCAACGTATGAATTACGCAGGGCTAACGTACCAATATTATGCTTCCAAATTTCCTGCAAAACGCAAATGTCTCCTAGCCTGGCGATTAATGTTGTGTCCAGATTTATAGGCCCGCGTCAGAAAGCGGAAACTCCGAGGTTACAATCCGGGATTCCGGGGTCTCTAAACTGGCATGCGAAATGACTCAATTCGCGCTCGGGGGGCAGAGTAACGGACTTTATGGCATCGTTTCAGCCACAGTTTTAGCTCCTCATCTGTAACGCATTCCACCCACTGTTGCGCCCCAGTTTAACTGCCTTCAACGACACAGCGCGTCTCGTATTCCCAATTGCCCGGCATCCGCTGGTTATTGTTCAGAATTCTTCGCATAGGTAATATACCACACTGCGAAATGGTCAAATTGTTGAGCCGAAACTGAGCTTGGATAGGTCATTTAAAGCCACATTTGTTTCTGAAGCTAATTTTATAGATAGCATAGTTCAATAAACGTAAGAATAATCTCTCATTGGATGGAATGAGGTAATTATGCACAATACAGGGAGAAATAATACGTTGATTTCGTTGTTTTACTTTCACCTAGGTAGTTGCAGCTGATTAGAAATGTTTCGAACAAATGAGCCACAAAATTATTACGATGAAAATCAAAAATAAAAAAGTAATTAAAATTTACAATTCAAAATATTATCCTTAAGAATCACAAACCAGTGCATGACACTTTTAGAGAATTTTTGCGACAGTAGCAGTCAAAGATTCCAATTATTGTACTGTTGTAACTGTACTTAATATCGAAAAAATATTAATATACAAAATCTCCAATATCTGTGTCCCCGATAAAGAATGTTTCGCATCATTCGATATGAATTTGCACCTATAATACACAACATTCTTACGAAAGCTTTCTCTTGAACACTACAATGCAGGATATCTGATAAGAATGATTTAAAATCTTTTAAAACATCCTCTTTGCGAATAAAACAGCGGAAAAATCCCCATTTACCATTATTTCGATGCTAAGGTGAATACAGCATTAAAATATCATCAAAGAATCAGGCATTAAAAATCATCAAAGAATCAAATATTAAAAAAATCATCAAAGAACCAGGCATTAAAAAATCATCAAAGAATCCAACATTAAAAATTAAACAAAGAATTAAGCGTTAAAAAAGTCATCAAAGAATCAAATCAGCATCATCAAAGGAATCAGGAAACAGCTGTATAATTAAAAGTCCACAGGACATTTTTAAGAATGTTTAAAATAATCGCAAAATATGATTTCATGCTTTCATTGTCAAGAATTAGAACATTCTTAACAAATTTTCAATTACAAGTAACATTCATATTATTCAGGAAACCCTTCTGTATTGGGTTGCAAAGCTAAAAAACCTTCACGTATCAACTACATTACAGCTATTAATTTGATTGGTACAAATCATAATATTTTTTACCCAGCCTACCGACTTTTATATCCTGCTTATCAAGCAAAAGATCAAAGAGTTAAAAATTGTATATTATTTAAAGAAATATAATACAGAATCTAACGATGCATCATAGAGCATAATGCATGGAGCAATAAAAATGACAAGTATTTCTAATGAGCAAAACATTCTTGTTTTTAAAATAAGTTCACATAAAACTAGAGCAACTTCTCCTCAACCGTTTCAATATGCCACGAAAATACTATTGATTTACTTGCTATACAAGAACTTTACTGAAAAAATGAACAGGTCACAGATTTACCATTATCATGGAAATTTTTCTAAAAAGATCACGCTAATTCTAGCCTAGCCCCAAATAACCTGTTTGAAGTTAAATTAGAATCCATTCTTTTGGGTCAGAAGAACGAGACACCACTGCTGCATTTCTTGAGGTAAACTGCGAAAAAAAAGGGGGGAGGGACAGTTCTATTCTCCCGTTCTACTGGGCCGACTGAAATTTAACTTTTTTTTCCCATGCCTCGAAGCGCGACTTAGGATGTATAATTAGATTTATATATGGCATTATTCTAACATAGGTATTTTGACACAAAATAGGACTTTTTCTGAAATAACATACATATTTTTATCCACATTTCGATGCTACGATTCAAATTATGCCTAGGTATTAAATTTTGTAATTTTTGGTGAGAAATTTATGGAGAAATTTAAAAATTTATTTATATAATAATAATTTATTTGGCGAGCTTCTTAATTTAAAGCAACCCATTTTTCTTTCTCGTAGCGAATATGCCAAACTTCAAAACGCTCCAAAATGTAAATTCGCGTATATCTTAGGAAATTTTGAATAAAAAACTAATCTTTTGCAGGTACGTTTAGAAATACATCTACTTTAAGATGATGGTAAAACTTTTATACGTTATAATTCAAAATGTTTTTCGAAAAATTTATAAAAATTATTTAAAAACACAAAGAATAAATCATAAAAAATGGGCGAATGTTATTTGGAATGAACTTACATTTCGAAATGTGAAAGGAAGAATCAAATAAGTTTAATAAAAAGGAGGATATTAATAAATATATACAAAATTCACTTAACATGGAGGAGCTAAAATTTGAGAACTAATTTTTTAAAAACTGCTCGGGCGGTTTTTTACAAAACTTGGCACTTTGTCACAATTTGAATCGTAGATCGTTATCGTATCGTAATCTTTATTTTTAATCTATTGCATTCTAGTTTAATTTTAGCTTATTATTTGTTATTCACATATATATATATATATGCTTTAAAATTTATGCATTTAAATTATGGATTGAAATACGAAATATGTAAAATATGTTGTAAATATAATAAAAAATATTTAATAATGGCTGTGTGGCAATACCTGTTAATCACTGTTGAAAAACATGTGTCCCCATTCATCATTAACTGAAATGAACTAACGCAATTCCATTATTCCGCAGTTCCAACCGGTAAAAATATTTATTCCCCATAGCCATTTCTAGGACATATTATAAAGGCTTCGAAGTAGCTGGTGAGACATGGAATCTTTTCTGACATTATTTATTTCTGATATTAAATATTGTCCACTATCAAAAGAAATACGTCAGCAAATTAAAAGCAAAAACAATTTTTTTGGGTGTATTTTAATGCATTTTTTTAGAATAATTTCTCCACTTAAGACGAAACTGAAGTATTTTTAAAGATTCAATTTTATATGAAAACATTTGCGTTGATTCAACCTCCATACGATTTTAAAAGGGATCATACCTTTGATTTAAACAAGATTCTTCAGCTGGATCCTGAAAGTCATCGGATTCCGGAGTATCTGAGTGACCTTGAAGACGTTCTTCGAGTGCAAAAGACTTTTCTTGGGAAGAAGGTAATGTTTTGTTTTCATAAGACTTGTTCGGATGACTCTCCTGTTTTCAGAAACAATATTAATTTTCATAAGTACATATAGCTATGATTTTAATGATTTGGAAAATGAGTTTTATAAAATTATTTAGCGCTAAATGAAGTAAATATACATTTTCCAGGAAACAATAAGAGCTGTGTAGACTATTGAAATTTCCTAAAGTTATGTTTTTAGTTACCTGAATAAGAAGTGCGACAGACAGTGCTTTTTTATCTCTGCTTATTTTCAAGGAACTGAAATTAGATTTCAAGTCGACTAAACAAGCAAAATAATTATTGCATATTATTATTATGTATAAAATAATAATTTACAATACTCTTATATCCTTAATTTGTAAGCTTATAAGGTATCGTTACAGTTTCTAACCAGTTATTTTATATTAAATCGCTTTCCTATCTTCCTCGTTTCCATTTTTCTGCCAGAATGTAAATTTCTACCTCGCGTGATATTCAAATGAGCTATAAAGAAGAGAATATTTAAAGGAATGTTTTAGAGGGCAGAATAAGAGCGTGCTCTTCCTGCTGAAGGCCACGTTGCTAAATTAATTCCCTTGCTAGTAGTATTCTGCGGCGTTGCATTATTCTCGCTATTAGGCTTATTACGTCCACTTTAGGTCACAGTCAGCTTGCATGCAATTATAACTGCGCAGCCGTTAGAACAACTTACTTGTCTTAAATTTAGTTAATTTTTGGTTTAAAGCCATTGTTGGCTTTTTGTAAGCGAGAGTCGTGCCGTCTGTTAACCTTTATTTGAGTCAAGTAAAAGTGTCCTTTACACTTTTTTCTTACCTCTATGGTAGTTATAAGATATATAATTCACTAATAGATTCTACAAAGTTTTGTACATTGTATGTTAAGAAAGAAGAAGAAAGGTTACAAGCTGTAGTACCAGTTTATATGACTATAGAAGAATATTTCTACAGAACAGTTAACCGCTTGTCCTTCACTGCAAATATTCATTATAAATTAAATAACCATTCAAATGATTTCAGAGTACAGCTACAGTAAGTTTTATGCACTGTAAAAAAACAGTTTCAAAAATGCTCCCTAGAGGAAGAATTTAGTGTCGCGTTCTACGGGTTCGTGGATTTGGAGTGATTGATGAAAACACTTGATGAAGAATCAAAGCACAATTTATTCGTTAGTATTAACAGGTGAGTTCCAAAGACACTTTTACAGCCGTCTAAAAACTACAATAAACAAGCTGAAACAATCAGCAACACAGCCTTCAGGCTATCAGGCTATAACGGTGAAGAGAGCTTCACGGCAAAGCACTAAAATACAGCTCCCGACTTGGTCGATCACTGTCGGAGCTCACTACTACTGAACTCAATGTACACAAGATACTTTCCACGATACACTGGCGATAAACTGCTACTCCACGTACAGGCAGGGTTTATATAGCTTTTAACTTACCTTCGAGAACATTCTGGGTCAAACCCGTAAGAGTTCGTTCTAGAATGGTCTCCCTTCGGCTATAGCATATCGCCAATTTAGTCGCCAAATGAACGATTATGCGCCGAATCTGATAACCCTTTTTTCCCTTGCCACTTTCTGGCAGCCCTAAACCTGCTTTTGCGGGGAAGCTATTTTACCGCGACTGGGCCTATTGTAACATTAGGAAAAAATCATCTAGATTAATAATTTCTCGAATTCACTAAATAAAGCATTTATTTTAAATGTTAATTAATTAAAAAAATAATTCGATTCAGCTACTTCTGATTTATTTAAAATTACGTGACATAGAAACCACAGATATTAAAAAAAATTTCATTAAAATATTCAGTATAACCTTTGGCAATTACTAATGATGCGTTCTGGTGAGGAATACGGAAATAAAAAATTAAAGGAAATATAGATCCAAATCATAATAACTGGTTAGTTTAAAATAATAACTTCACAAACTTTTTTTTTGAAAAAGTATGTTAACCATTTTTGTGATAGTTTTATAATTTTATTAGGTACCTCAAGATGGTGCCCGTTTTTGACCAACATAGCATTCAATCGAGAAGCATAAAGAACGCTGCTTTAAATATTAAAGCTCAGCTCAAGGCTTCAACGCCTATTAACAGCGGATAGGTAAAAGCGTTGAATATTGAATGTTTGAACCAGGTTCAAATCAACTGAACTGGCTAGCTGCATGGAAGTTCTTACAGTTTTACTCATTATGTAGTATGTATATGAGACAATACTTCGTAAAATACCTTTTACGAAGGAATTCCTCCCTACAAGCAGAAAACTCTTGTATGCTTTGTCATGATTAAATAAACCAAAGCCAAGACTTCAAGCATGGTCATTTTCACAGTTTTCGTTTCATTACCATTCCCATCATCAGTGAAGTTCTTATTGCAAGGGATTTATGCTGTGAATGATTTTTTCGTCACTCAAAATCTGGTTCTCTGTTTTTTTTTTTTCTAAATTTATCCACTCCGAAATGTTACATTTTCCTTTTCATTTGAAGCATGACTACCAGTTAATTGACAGTCAACGTAACTTTTTTTTTAATAGTTTTAAACAACATTTTTGTTTTCCCCTGGCTGTTTAATAGAAAGACCTTTCGAAGACCCATTACTGATAAGAAAAGATAAAAGAGCAATAAATGAAAAAATTCGCGAATGTTACTGATTTACGCTGTACCCTTTCGGGTATTAATAAATTTACCGAGTTATCTTTATAAGTTAATTGTTGGCTCAGATGAGGATAGAGTCCTTGGTTGACAGATGCCTGTTTAATAAGGGATGTACTGTATAAAGACAGAAACAGAAATGTGATACACTACTTAACTTATTTACCAAAAGTATATTTCGTAAATTTCTATAGGTAATAAAATTTATTAAAAACTGATAACATGTTGAAGGTATAATGCAGTGATCTTAAATTCAAACTGCACGCTGGCCAGTTATGAGTTGTATGAGCTTAAAGTAGCTAATGGCCTGCGATTAAAAAAAAAAAGAAAGAAAAGCAGAATAAAAGCCAAACAATTAAAAAATGTTGCTAGCCAAATAGAATTTTCTTTTCTTTTTTTTTTTTTGGAGTATTTCCATTTAGAAAGAGGAAAAAAAAAACAGATGTAAAATTAAGAAACGTAGTTAAGTTTTTACATAGTTAAGTTACATAGTTAAACATAGTTAAGTTCATAGTTAGGAACTCAGATTTTTAATGCAACTTATCAATTTTGGAAAAATATGAAGGGTCTTTCATTATTAAATTCTAAAGAAATCTAATAAGTAAAGAAAGAAAGCAAAATTATGTAGCTTCTCGGAAAAAAAGATCTGAAAGCTTTCAGATTTTATATTACACCCAAAGGGGCGTTTTTTAAATTTACACAAACATACACGTTTAGAGAGCATTTAGTTTTCTTCGGGCAAAAAATATTTAAAAACAGCATATCTTTAGAATTTCCGACAGACAGTCTTGCGCGCTGAAAATAAAAATATTCTTTTCCGTACAGTATTGGCATTGCTGGCTTTGAAATGGTTGAGTTTGTTAAAAACAAATTCGTTAATCAAAAATTCGTTCGAAAGTATTTGCGGGCCTCATAAAGCTGCTTCTGTGGCCGGCAGTGTGAGAACACTGGTATAATGTATAAACTATTATGCGCGATAATAAAATTGCATAATCAGCAATACATGAAGCTACCCTCATATTCAGGGTATAACGGTGAAGACAGCTTCACGGTAAAGCAATAGAATATAGCTCCCGACTCGGTTCGATCGTTCTCGGAACTCAACGTACTCTCTAGACTTTCCACGCTACAACTCGCGATCCACTCGGTATCCTCAACGATGCCCGACGCTCTTGATGCACCAACTCGCGATAACTGACGAGGCACCTCGAAAATAGACTGAAGATTAACTCAATAGACTGCTACTCCGCGCACATGCAGGGTTTATATAGCATTTGGCCTGCCTTAGAAACTGGGCCAAACTGGTAAGAATTCGTTCCAGAATGTACTCCATCCGTCTATAGTATATCGACAATTTTGTCGCCAAATGGGCGATTCTGCGCCAAATCTGGAAACCCTAAACCCGCCTTGAGGGGAAGCCATCTTACCGCAGCCGGAAATTTCGTAACAATATTAATAAAAAAGGAGAAGGAAATGTCTGACTATATCATAGATTAATGTCATGATCTGCTGCGCAAGGTAGCCTAACCGGCGCACGCATTCGTCTTTCTGCCATGCGGAACCGAGTCAGAACAGACATCATAACAAGTTGATGCCATGAATAAGGCTTATGTATATATGTTACTCTGCAAACCAGAATAATCATTACTTTATTAATTCTATGTGAATTATATCTATTTATTTGATATCCTGCTTACGTATTTATGAACTGCCCAAATCATAAACATGTTAATACGCCAAGAACTCACCTAATAATGATAGTCTCAGAATCATATTATCAGAATTTGTATGTGATTTCCTTTATATTATTAGTGAGGCAAGGATATATTATTGAAGAAGATTGCATTGAAATTGAAGCAAAATATATTGATATTAGCCTAACGACTCACTAAAAATTTAAATAAATATATAGAATCCTCGTACTCAGCCACTTACTCTCTTAGACGAAATTCTGTCAGGAAAATCTTTTGTATTCCCAGATTGAACATTGACATAACCGCTTGGTTTGTGCTTCTCTTTGAACAATCGCTCTGAAGCTTTTGTGCGTGAATTTTTCCCTGTAATAAATGATAAAAATGAAGCATTAAAGAAAATAATTCGTTTTGCTTAAATAAAATAATTTTTTTTGTAAATAAAACAATAAATTTTGTTTAAGCAAAACGAATTAAAGAAAATAATTTGTTTTGCTTAAACAATTTTTTTTTGTAAATAAAACGTAAGTACGAACACATGAGCCTCTCCAACAGACAAGACAAACAAAGAAAAATGTCATGGTCCAAAATGTTTTAATTATTAATAGCAGTAAATTTTGTGAAACACTTCACAGTTTTCATTTACTATTCAGCAATGGAATCATATATAAATTTGAATATTAAGTTATCGAGTATTTATATTTGAAATTTCATATAAATCAAACTACTTTCTCGAGGAAATCTGCTTTCAGGGCTGTTCGGAAAAGATGGCTGAAGGCATTGATTTTTTTAATACTGATCTTAGAAATTTACTTCCAGTTACAAAATTCCTTAAATACTGATCATAGACATACACTTCCAGTTAAAAGATTTTTTAAATACTGATCATAGACATACACTTCCAGTTAAAAGTTTTTTTAAATACTGGTCATAAGACTTACATTTCCAACGGTGACATTTCTAAAAATAAGGTGCAGAGTTTTGTGAAAGCAGTTCGATCACCATGAGTTTAAGGGTATTGTAAAAGCATAATGTAGTTTTTTTATATTACATCTATACAGAAAATTTTTCGATTAGTAAAATATATATTAATGCTTCAATAACTTGAAATGTTTCATATTTCTAGCTGAAACTTTGCGAAGATATTCAAAAATGAATTTACTAAATTACGTCAAGTTTCTGTGTTAGTTCTGGATAAATTTTCAAGATTTTAAAAACGTTAAGAAAAAGCTACAAAATGAATTGCTCATGGTTATGGTGTTATTTGATTCAAAACGAAATACACTCTAGACGCAGAAGAAAAGTCGCATGCGCCCAATAACTGTTGGTCCTACACTAAAATAAGTACATTGCGTTATGACTTATCTAGAAAAGGAAACAAATAAAATACTTAACTTACTTCTTCGTGGTGTAGCGTCCTTAAAATAAATACACGTACTTTACCTAACCAAACTAGTTTATTTAGCACTTATGAGTAGAATGTGCAGCAACCGTGATTAATGTAAACGGGTAAGAACATTGTATAACCGACCAAATCTTGATATAGTGACTCCATTATTCAGCTGCGCAGCCAAGTGCTCGAAAATGCTCCAGAGTAATCCTTCATCATTCATCTTTGGAATCAACTATTATTCCATACTCATACTTTTGATACACTCCAGTTCACAATTGTCGCTTAGTTTTGTAAAATAGAGTTTTTGTAATGAATTCTTACATAGGTCATTGTATTTTAGCTTTGGATCATAGCTACTCAAACTCCACTTAATTACGTATACCGTGCGTCAGTTTTCTATGCTGGAATTAACCAACTTTGCAGAACAATAATCCCAGCAAAATTCATGAATACACAAAATTAATCTTTTATTTGTCCTGTGCATCTCGTCCTATCTTTCAAGCATTAGCTACATAGCACTTCTTTGATACTAACTCCATCGCGGGAAGAGAGGGGCTGAAACCTTGCTCTTCCGTTTGCCGTTGTCGTCGGAAAGAAGGAGGAAAACTTGCGACTATTCGATGACGATTTAAACTTAAATGACGATTAAATCCAACAGTCAGAAAATTAAATGAATGACGATTAAATCCAACAGTGAAAAAATTGTGTTCTCGCACTCATGCTGGCGATAAATACATATGTGTGTAAAATTAAGAGAATTTGAAAATTATGTTTATTTTACGAGTTATATTGAGCTATTAATTATGCCGGCGAAGAAATATGCAAATATTCAGACACGAATATGTAAGCGTACACCTACGTATCTGCGGAACTGTGACTGCGGAGGAAATATAAGAGGGGTTTTAGGTAATCTGTACTCTTTTTGGTATCTGCTCGTACTCTTTCACGACATTCTCCATGTTTCTTTCAAGACTTGGGTAAATTTTATAAAGTATCAGGTGAAATGCGTAGCCTCCAATGTATGGATGACAGAATGAGGTATAGAACTATCGGTACCCAGACCAGTCACAAGCGCAGGTGGCTACACAGCTAAGTGTAACGTCCAGTGTCATCTACAGTTTCTGGAAACAGTTTCAGGACACTGCATCCATATCGAGAGAATATGGACAAGGTCGACCAAGATCCTCAATAAATGAGGATCGCAGTTTGGCACTTTCAGGACGGTGACTTAGAACATCTACAGGTGACAACAGGGTTCGGACATGCGAGCCGGTTTCACTGATTATTCAGGTATCGTCCGGATCCCAAAACTGTCAAAACAACATTGACAAACAGGGGCTGAAGATGGGAGACAGACATATCGCGGATTCTTACAATACCAATACTTTGCATCTTCATAGCTCTCACATGAGCTGTATAATCCTACTAGAACACTGCTGACTCAGTAGTACTGCGCAGTTTTTAGCGATTTTGCCTCTCTCACATACCTCTCTGCGCATGTTGAGTAGTAAGGAAACCGATGAAGGAAACTCCGAAAACAAAAAATACTATTTTTAAGCATTGATAAAATAATGTTCAATTTTTGTACATCATATTATTACGAAATATGTGAAAAGAGAATCCGAAGCAGCTTATTATAGTAATTCATAATTCAGTTATTTTCTAAGGTTCAGCCATCTGTATTAACTGCATTTTTTTACCAGAAGATAAGGTAGAAACAAAGAAGTATAAGAATATAATCAGAAATAGTAAAATTTACATTAAACCAAAAACAAAACAAAACAGCTTATTTTTAGCCGCGTGCAATTATTTTATTTACAAAACTGGAAATGTCGTTCTTCATGAACTACGCTTCTAATTCTCTAATATATGCACATACAGACGAAAATGATAGATTAAATAACGAAGTGTAATAAAGCTTGAAAAATTCTTTTCCATTCTCATGAATAAAATGGTGAACTATTAAGCCAAATGTGTATGATAAATCTGAAAATGTCTTATTTTCCTTCTTTTCTTTTAAACTTACCACTAGTTTGTGTTGATGACCATCCGAAGTCAACCGTCTTATCCTCGAGAGCAGGCTTGTCCCAAATAAAGCTGTTCATAGCAGTGGGGGAATTGTTTTCATCACTGCTGCTACAGTTGCTGCAAGGACTCCACAAATTCCCTCTTTCCTTATCGGGCAACATTGGGTTCGTAGAAAGTAGGGTTTCAGATCTTGGACCTGGATAGTCATTCATGGTACTTGCCATGCACGGATGCTTCTTCTTCTTACTAGCATCGGTGTCTGTCGTAACAATTCTGTTACCATTCATTGTTTCAGAAGATTCAGTTTGCTATATATGTATTGAACAAAAATTAAAATTATGAGGCTGTGTTTAATTTCCTAACTCTTACGTGATGTTTTCGAAGCTTGAATTTCATGGTACACTCCTGTATGAATAAGAATCTGTTGCTTTATGTAATAAATAGCAGAAGTCTCAATTTTAGTGAGAAGAATAATTTCCGTTTAATTTTGATAACAAAAAATGAGAAAAGAATTATCGTTTACTCTTTTCTGATGAAGAGGTCAGATTTAGATGGCTGATAAAGAACAGATCTAATTTTTGAATAATAATCGAACAATATATTCTGTGTCGATTTTACATTTATTTGGTTAGTTTCATTATTTAACTGTGTGTGATATTTCAGCATATTGATTTCTGTAAGGTAAGTTGCTCAAAATAATTCAAATGGTTTTACCTGACTAAAATTGCTATTAAGAAGAAATTAACATTTTAGTTTTTTAGTATTTTATCTACACAGCATTATTTAATTCTTTAAAATGTTTATAAGAAATTTCTTGTTGTAGATTAATATTGATTGGAACTACGTATATTTAGAAATCAGGCTTGTTGCATTAAAATCTTTTAATGTTAGAAAGAGCGTACGTAATTTAGTAATAAATTTGATCAAAATGTAAAAAATTCTAGTTATCTTTGTATTTGATTTTATAGGAAAGGTTAGAAAAAGTGTAAAAGATGTTTATTAACTGTCTTTTATTATGCTATTAGAAATGAACTATGTAGATTTCATTTACAAAAATGGTTAATTTTCCCTTGAATTTGATTTATAGAAGGAGCTTGGAAACAATGAAACCCTCTTGTTCACTTTGCTCTGGATCCCATATTAAGAAGAAAAATACCCTTTTTTCTGAAAAGAAACAAAAATCATAATTATAAATTTGTATAAGATCGACAACAAATTATTGTGTTAGTTATTATTATTGTGTCAATTATTGTGTCTTTAGTGTTTTAGCATTTCTATCTTCTTGTGTAATTCTGATCTTAATTTGTAAGCATGCAAAATTAGCACACTGTCTATGCAATCTAATTATACAGTAACATTCCATATATTTGTGATAAATGTATGCAATAAAACTTTGCATTGCAATTTGGAGTATTGAATTGTTTACTCTGATTATATTGTTGGGTGCGGATGGGCTCGTAATATATTGAATGCACACAAAATCGATGATAGCTTGATAAAATTTATTTTCAGAAAAGAAACACTTTATAGTTCTGGAACTTTCCAGAAACGTACTCGTACAGCTCTTTTCAGTATCACAAAACAGAATCAGTAGTTACCACTTCAAACTATTAAGAATGTTAAATACAACGCAAATGCAAAGCACATCTAAAGAGCGAAACTCGCACGGAACTCCTCGCGCGCTCTATACTCCGAAATCAACTGTGAACTAAAAACTGAGAACCGATGCTTTATCTGGTGTTATATAGTTATCTCCCGGATGCCGAGTAATTTCGAATGCTATACATTTTTCGAAACTACTGGAAGGCATATATGTTACAGCTGCATAAAAGAGCGGTATACGGTTACAGTTACTTAAAGGAATCAATTAAAGTACCAATTACAATTATACAGAAACTGGACCAAAATATTCTAGTCGCCAGGTTTGGCGACTCTTGTTGTTCATGTCTCGCCAAATTTGGCGAAAAAATTAGTTGCCAAAACCATCGTCAGCTTGCCGCTATCTCGCCGATTTAGTGAGATAGCTACCAAATATTATCGCCGTGCATTATATTTAAAGAAATTAAATAATGAAGAATCTGCATGAATGCATGAATGTTTCTCACGCTGTGAAAAAACAGTGGTACCTAGTGCCATCCAATTTTGAATAACGTAGTCCTCCAACCGAATATGGGAAGCCCGAATTTTGAATTTGCTTTATTATCTATTTCAAATTTTGTAAAACTTTAACGAATTTTTTATTAGCTAACTCAACGATTTCAAAGCGAGCAATGGCAGCACTGTACGGAAAAAACATTTTTATCTCAAACGCGCGAGATCGTATATCGGAAATTCTAAACATATGTTGTTTTTAAATATTTTTTGATACTGCTGTTCAGTTGAATTTTATGTGGTTTAAATGCGAAGTACATGATATTTAATAAATAAAGGTAACACATAAAACGTTAAAATATATATATATATAAAATCTGAAAGCTTTCAGGATTTTTTTATTATTTTCCTCTTCTTTTAAAGATCATAATTAGATTTGAAGTCATAATTATGATTTAAAGATGATAATTAGGTTTGAGAATTAAATTAAAATAGTGAAGATGAAGGCAGGGAGGGAAAAAACCCAATAATGCCACATCAATTAAAAAGAAGGCTATCAAGTGGATTCTTGCTAGATATGTTTGACTAAATGTTCCTGTAAAACTAGTTATTCTGTAGGAATACTGCTCACGCAGAGAAGCTACGCTACGTGTACCTCTAATGGTATATCCCATTATTTTTAGTGGCACCGCTTTTACACAAACAATTTAAATGATTATAAAGTGGCGCCTCTTTTTACATTATTTTTATCTCCATAAATTAGATATATTTTTTGGCGTCTACGATGGCGGCTACACCTCCATATGTTAGCTACGAGTCTGAGTTAATATTTTTGAAATGAACGGTAGACTTTTATGAGAATTTAGATTGGCAAATTGTAGCGTGTATATTTACATTTTATTATAATGTGAAACTTTTATTTCTCAATATAATTGAATGATATAAATTTAAAATTATAGCAGAACGTTTTGGATGTAACCGAACTAGTTTATCGGATGACATAAGTGGCAACGAGAACAACTTACAGCCAGTCGAGCTCAGCTCGATGAGGGTAAGTTATCCATTATTTTATGTCTCCGTAATTCTAAGGTTAACTTTACATGTTAATTCTAAATGTTAGGTGTTCCGTTTTAGTGTACGTTCTGTTCTGATGCATATTTTCTTTGTAACTGTTCCTGTGCTCTGTTAATAAATACTTTTAGAACTAGCCGGCGTTTGTTTATAGAAGATCGATTACAAAATGGCGCCCAAAAAATGTTGAAAATTTTCTTTTGCAAAATAGCTTCCAAGGAAATGTTGAGAATATCTGTTTACAAACAGCTCCCAGGAAAATGTTGAGAATTTCTGTTTACAAAATAGCTCCCAATGAAATGTTTATCAATTACACAAACAAACCCTGTTCACAAAATGGTGTTAAACGAAATGTTGATAATTTCGGTTTAGTTTTAAAAAGCCCTAACTTCCGAGTTTAAGTTTTGGTTGCTGGAAATCGGTGCAATCTCTTTTCAAGTGTAAACTGCTGGATATAATAATTTTCGAAACCGACTGTTGATATCAAAATGGTGTCCTGGTGCTAGCCCATAGAATGCAACAAAGTGAACTACAGTCAAAGGAACACAAAGATAAGGTTTTTTAGATTATCTGAATTTAAAATTCTCTTTAAACCGATTATTTGTTATAAACTGCCTTTTAAAACAAATGTAAATTCCTTATTGAAAGCAGATTTATAGAGTTCACTGATATTATTGATTAGAATTTATTAGTTCCGATTCTCATGCTTTTAAACTTTCGCTAACTTGTTATTCTAAAATGTTTTCATGTGCATACTAAATTAAACTATCGCTTCTATTAGAAAACTGAATGCATATTTAAATAACACTTTGAATAGATTCATTGCTACTGTTGATTAGAGTTTATTAGTTTCGATTGTCAGACAGGGATGATTTTGCTTTCTCTCCTCCCTGCTGAATTCCAAACTGGATGATTTATAACGTGTTGACTTCGAATCCTTTTGTTTATGTTTTATTTGTTTCCCTTGAATTCTTTTGAATATTGAATAAATGTTGTAACTATTGTAACAGAATTATTTGGATGAAACCGAACTAGTTTATCGAACAACAACGAGTGGCAACGAGAACAACTTACAGTCAGTCGACCTCTAGCTGTGATGGGGATAGGATATCCGTTATTATGTCTCCTTAATTATAACGTTCATTTTAAATGTTAGGTGTTTCGTTTTAGTGTATGTTTTATTCTGAAGTACATTCACTATGTAAGTGTGCCTTTCTTCTAATAATAAATACTTTTAAAGCTAGCCGGCGTTTGTATTTACAGAAGAACGGTTACAAAATGTTTTATTCTTTAATTATAAACACTCCGTTTAGGATGCACTGATTTTTAATCGGGGAAATGCTTTTATGATGATATGTATGTTTTTGATTCCTTTTTATATCGTACAAAATTTGAAACGTTTGAAAACCTCTGATTTAGACCATGTGAGCACAAACTAAGTTATACTTTAAAAGGATCTAATTTTTAGAACGTGGTATTTACTTAATATCGGCGAGGCTTGGGGACACGCGTTTTTACACGATTTAATATATAAGACAATATGAGACAGCAATGATGTATTTAAAAATAACAGGCAGTTATTCCTGAAGATATCTGATTACTACTATTGATTCCTCTTCTCCTTACCAATATAGTTTGTATGGGAATACTGTGTAGTATATGTATAGGTAAGTATATATTTTACAGTTTTGTTTTCGTCAATTTAGACTTTATTTTTATGAAAATACTTATATTTGGTATGCGAAAGAGTAGAAAATTTTTGTAACCATTTCAGTATTCAGTGGAATCTCACAATGCAATTTTAAGCAAAAGTTCTTTAGTACAACATGTATTTGGGTATAACCTTGTAAAACTTTTGACAATTCATATGTTGATGTGGCGAGAAGGTTTTTTGATTTTTAGACAATGCTGTTGTAGAGTGATTAGGTTAGTTTACTGCTAGAGACATAAAGAGTGAGCAAGGCCATCGTCGGAACTAGAACCTGGAGTTCTCGAGTACGCTCCGAGTATGCTGACCGTTACACCACGAAAGCATGCAGAAAGGTGGGAGAAAATACTTTATAATGCAATGTTAGAAACTGAAATGCGCATTGAATCTGACAATAAATGTTTTAAGCATTAATTAATACGCAAAGAAATAAATTTTCAAAAACTGATCTTCATTGAATCTTCATGAATTTAAATACACCATATTTTGTAAAGAAAGAAATATTTTTAACAGAAATTGCAATTGCATTTAAAGGTATTTGGTTACTGTCCGTTGTAGAGGCTTTAGGTTTATCGATGTCAGGAACGTGAAAAATATGCCATGTCCTCGCCGGTATTAGAACTCTGGACTTCCCGATTACGTGCCGTACGTGCTTCCAGTTACACCACGAGGAACTACGTTATCCGGAAAGGAGGGAGAAAATTCCTTAAATAATGGGATGATTATATGACGATTACGTAATGGGATACTTTACATAATGCGACTGGGGATGAGAAGACGGTCAAGTTGAGGTCAAGCTACTCTCATCTAGTTTTGGATATTGATGAAGAGGCTAGGGTAGTTTCACCTGAGCGACGGTTGGTTGCGTGATCTAATCGAATGCCCTCGGCCCAACATTTTTCATTTGAAACGAGATTTATCGGGGAAAGAGTTTATACGCTCAACGTTTTATGAAAATGAAAATATTAAAACGCCAAGTAAAGAATCGGAGTCAGCATGAAATTTTAAAATGAGGTTAAAGAATCTCGTTTTGAATTTTAGCCCAGAAAAGGCTTTAGCATATGTAGAAAACGGCAATAATTTGATATGAATTAAAGTGCAGAATATCCTAAAAGTAAAGGGACATCAGGAATAATAGTCAATTTACAGCACATGAGAATGGGAATCATTTTATAGGAACTGAATTAATGGATATCTCATGCGATAAATAACATACGGATTAATCGTCAATTTGAAGGGAAGTTAGCTAGGTTATAAGGTATTTCTCCCACTTTCCTAGCGATCCTTCGTGGTG